ACAAAGCAAGACATTGTCCTTCCTAGGCCAAGTTCATGATTGTTTGCATGCTTATGCATGTTGTTGGTATGTACAAGGGGTACCCCCGCAAAAAAACTGTAAGTGATATGAGGGGGATAGTGCCTTTGGAGTTCATTCCACCAGGTCAGACTCTTAATCAAGCTTTCTAGTTAGAGGTTCTGAAAAGATTGTGGAAAGTGTAAGACAAAAAAATGCCTGGTTTGTGGCAGATGAGGGACTGGTTTTGCCACCCTGACAATGCACCTGTTCATGCAACTATCTCAGCATGCTAGGCTTTGGCCAAAACCAGCATGTCTCTCTTGCCCCATGCACCTAACTCACCTGACCTTGCTCCATGCGACTTCCTTTTGTTTCCACGAATGCAGAGGGGCATGAAAGGACAGCAATTTGATGATGTAGAAGAGATGAAGAACAAAAGAAGGGAGGTATTGTCAGCCATCTAAACAGATGAGTTTGAAAAATGTTTCCAAGAATGGAACCACAGATTTGACAAATGTGTAATCGAAAGTACTTTGAAGGTGATAAGGTTGTGTTGTAAAAATATTTTGAATACATAGCTTTGAAAAAAAATTCTGGTTTGGGGGGGAGTACCCCATCAGATTGTGTCACTTTCTCATTCAGAGTTTCCCTAATTCTCCCTGACTCTATACTTTATCAAATATGAAGTCTTTTTGTAATGATTAACTTTTGATGACATCCTGAGTAAGCAAACTGATACTCGTCTTTCATTCTAGAAGCATTCTGGGTTTTATTTGTGGCAGTCTATGATGTCTTGAACATGATCTTCTCCAACACCACAGGTCGGTGGTTCCATCTACCTTTTTCATCATCCAGCATCTGCACGTACATGAGGAGACTGAAGTGATCATGGCTCGTGATAGACAACCCTTAGTCACTGAAGTGACACCTTTGCTTTGGTATCTTTAAAGAAGTCTTATGCAGGAAATTTGCCTAATAATATAGTGTCTTCTCCCTAATCTCACCGACCTTCCCTCCTTTACTCCAGTAATAGGACAGCAAATGACAACCCGGACCATTTGTGGGACTCAGGATGAATGCTGCACTGTGACTCTGTTTATTAACCGTTACAACTTCTTGATGCTCAAGGAGATTCCTTCAGGCATATATCATAAATATCTGTTTATTCTAAATTACAATGGACTAGGATCACTTGGCTAATGTAGGACAGCTTTTAATTTCCTTGGACACCCAAATGTGGAGTACCTGAAATGTAAGCAATCATTTAACAGAGATGACGTCTTGCTTGGCTTTAGGCCAGTATCTTCTGTACAACAGGTTTCATCCCCCAGAAAGGTCCTCGTCTTCAGTCATTTTATTTCTAAATGCATTCACAAACCATATGAACTTGGTAATTCAAATCTTACAGAATTACAGAGTTAAGAGTTGAAAGATACCTAAAGACCCCCCCACCCAATAATTTTAAATACTCGTCCAGAAAAATAGAAGTGCAGGTGGCCAGACAGGCAGGTTTCAAGGATCCTGAATATGGTAGCCTGGTCTTTAGAGCACAGCACTGAGAGACAGTGGTGATATCATGTACAGACATG